GGATTTGAACCACCAACCTTGCGGTTATCAGCAGAACACTTAACCACTGCGCTACCAGGGCTCCTTATGTTTAAATAAGAGTTCATATAATATCAAAGAAAGGGAAATTATCATATCTTAAATCACCAATATTAGATATTCTGGAAACTTCAAATGTATTTTCATGTGTCCTCATAACCAATCCCTTGAAGTAGACTAGACCCACTTGTCAAAATTAGGTTAACTTATCTTACCAAGGTCACCAAACCACAGTATTTCTCCTAATCACATCTTTTCTTGGAGTAACATTTGGATAGTACTTAGTGGAGTTTTCAGGTATACTCTCTTATTTAACTCTGTTATCATTCCTAATTCATAGAAGAAGGAACTGACGGAAAGAGGCTGATCTCCACAGTAATGCAGCTAAAATGCATCAGGAACAGGACTGAACTTTAAGTTTCTTGACATCTAATGCAGTGGGTACATAAACCTGAGAAATAGTCTATATAGATAGCTGTTATTTTAAGTAATATTTTAAAAAGAAGTTAGATAAATATACATGTACATGGTTCTAAGTACTTTCCAAGCTTGTTCACAGTTAACAAGTTATTACCTACCTAATATGCAATACCTTTCAAAGAGGTTGAAGAGTCACTTTTCAGTTTTTGAGTTGTCACCAAGATAGTGGTCTCTGCTTTATAAAGTGTCTCCTTTTCGTAACCCCAAAGTATACATATTTTTAAAAATTATTTAATTTTAATATGGATTTAAGTTATATATGCATATAGTCATAAAGCTAAACAAGGCTTGTTATATAAAACAGCAGACTGTAATGTCTTTGGCCTGCTGTTTTCTGAGCCCCGGTGGCAACTGTTTTTAGTTCTTTTAGTTAAATGTAGTTACTTCCATATTTCCAGATAATATGCTTATATTGTTAATATCTGGATTTTTCAGATTTAGGCAGTATTTATTACCTTCACTTAGGAAATTAAGATTTTAGCTCTCTCATCCCTCCACTATAACCACAGATATTCACACATCCTGTTTCCCCACCCTCTTAACATAGTTATTTTATAATTTGGAAAAGATCACTATATGGTACTTATATTATTAAAACTTTATAGGAACAGTTAACTGAGCCATAGAGTGTACAATGATTACATTTCCCTTCCTGCACAACCTTTTGTTTTCCCAGAAGCTAATAACTGTCTTTTTTTGTTTGCTTAGATTTCTTTATACTTATTGTTATTTAAAACTCTAATTCTCTGCCATCTGCCTAAATCTTAACATTTTAGTACGTTCACGTACATCAGTTTCATCTCACCAGAGATGAAACTCACTCTAATCTGGCCTCTTTGCTATCCAGGGCTGATACACAGCTGTCATCCAGTAATCGCCCTTTACCATTTTTCTCAGGACTCTCTTTCCCTCTCCCGTGTTAATTTCCCTGTTTTCTGGATTGTAGGTTTTCTTCTTTTTCATTTTACTCTATTGTTTTGATAGAGCATCTCCTGTAGTTGCTTTCTGAGAAGCACTGAGACTTTGTATGTCTTTATTGTACCCTAATAGTTGAATAATAGTTTGGCTGGGTAGAGAATTTGGGGTTGGAAATAATTTTCCCTCAGAATTTTGAAAATACTGCCTACTGTCTTCTGGCTTTAACTGTTGCTGTTGACAAGTTTGTTGCCATTCTGATTGTTGACGCTCTGTATAAAACTATTTTAGTAAGGAGAAATTGGAAATAAATGTGTTTTCAATTTGTCATCTTTACCCCCAAAGTCTGTACTAATAAGAGAAAATTTTGATGTGTTGATTTTTAAATGCCTTTGGTGTTGAACTTTTTTTTTCCTCCCAATTAATTCTCTAGAATCATGTGCTCCTTAAAATAATAATAAATAATAATCAAAGATTCCTGGAAAGTGAAAGAAAAAGGAAAAAGTTAGTTAATTGTTGTTATTGTTAAGTGCCACCGAGTCGATTCCCCTGCATAGCGACCCCATGTACAACAGAACCAAACACTGCCTGGTCCTGCACCATCCTCACAATTGTTGTTAAATTTGAGCCCATTGTTGCAGCCACTGTGTCAGTCCATCTCATTGAGGTCTTCCTCTTTTTCACTGACCCTCTACTTTACAAACCATAATGTCCTTCTCCAGGAACTGATCCCTCCTGGTAACATGTCCAAAGCATGTGAGACGTAGTCTCACCATCCTTGCTTCTCAGGAGCATTCTGGCTGTACTTCTTCCAAGACAGATTTATTCGTTCTTCTGGCAGTCTATGGTATATTCAGTATTCTTTGCCAACACCATAATTCAGAGGCATCGATTCTTCTTCGCTTTTCCTTATTCATTGACCAGCTTTCACATGCATATGGGGTGATTGAAAATACCATGGTTTGGGTCAGGCACACCTTAGTCCTTAAAGTGACATCTTTGCTTTTTAACACTTTAAAGAGGTCTTTTGCACCAGATTTGCCCAATGCAACACGTCGTTTCATTTCTTTGCTGTTGCTTCCATGGGCGTTGATTGTGGATCCAGGTAAAATAAAATTCTTGAAAACGTCGGTCTTTTCTCCATTTATCATGGTGTTGCTTATTGGTCCAGTTGTGAGGATTTTTGTTTTCTTTGTGTTAAGGTGTGATCCATACTGAAGGCTGTAGTCTTTGATCTCCATGAGTAAGTGCTTCAAGTCCTCTTTACTTTCAGCAAGCAAAATTGTGTCATCTACATAACACAGGTTGTTAGTGAGTCTTCCTCCAGTCTTATTGCTGAGTTCTTCTTCATATAGTCCAGCTTCTCAGATTTGATCAGCATACAGATAGAATAAGTACAGTGAAGGGATGCAACCCTGATGCACACCTTTCCTGATTTTAAACCATGCAGTAGCCCCTTGTTCTGTTCAAACGACTGCTTCTTGGTCTATGTACAGGTTCCACATGACTATAATTAGGTGTTCCCATTCTTCATAACGTTATCCATAATTTGTTATGATCCACACAGTCAAATGCCTTTGCATAGTCAATAAAACACAGGTAAACATCTTTCTGGTATT